CAGGAAAAGAACTAAAACAAGTATCTAAATAGATGCGAATTAAGTGTACTGCATTGCGTTAAACAGTCATGAAGCGAGACATAAGAATTAAAGCACACTAGAACGAACGTAAAATGTTTATACACGATCGTAAAAGTAACGAAATGCGATTCCTAAAGCGAAATCTTGGAATAACGTTGCACAAGTTCAACGAAATAGCCACGTTTGCGACATCAAACGGTCTTGCGGGTTCGCAGTTGCGCTGCTTTCGTATTCAATTAGCAGCCAACTGTTAAAGTTTGTTCAGAATAGAATGATCATAAAACGACAACAATGTCGTGTCGTAAAGCACCAAGACTCAGTTGGTAGCGTAAAATTTGTCTCTAGAAATGAAGTAAATGAAAATGTATTGTACTAATAGAGAAATGTCTTAAGGATGGTCAAGAACTAATTATAAGTTGTTTAAATACTAAACTGATCGAACCTAGTTTAGTAAATTGAGGATCTTCCTGCAACAGAGATGCAATTCCATTGTTGACAGTATCGTACAATTGTCGTAATGTGGAATATGTACCTACATATGAAATGATGCATGTTTGATGTAAATTCGATAAGAAATGAATTTAATACATATTTTGGACACGACCAAATTAAGGTTCCAATGGCTCGGGGCTAACAAATCCTCGGAGGCACCGTAGATAAACTTAGCCCAAAAATTGAAATTTATTTTAAATAAAATTAAATAACATGTACCTAATCGCCGAGAAAAAGGGCAACAGTAAATAAAATTTTTATTGGATATTTTTTGACATAATAAATAGTACCTCTTGCAAAATAGGGTTCGGGGCTACAGTCCCTCTTAAGGGCACAGACTCCTTCGAGGCCTCCTCCGAATCGATGTAAGCGCCATTGGAAAGAATCGAGCAATCGTGAAAACACATAATTGAGAAATTGGACATTTGATGGGGTGACATCTAACGTCATTATGCAGAATAAGAAACGAAAGTGAGCTGGCATAGTTGCCAAATCACATCATTTGAGAGTTCTGTCGCGACTGACGAGTTTTAGGTAATTGGTGGTACAACTAGGAAGGGGATGATTCTACAGGGTGTCCCAGAACTGGGGTAGGACCCGTGGAGGGATGATTCTAAACAACTTTTTCCTTTCAAAATGTTGGTTAAGGCTTCGTTTTCGAGTTATTAACGAAAAACACTGACTAATCAGAGCGCGCCTTCAGCGTGGGCCGAACCGCAAGAGTGTTGGGTATGCTCTGCGTTCAAACCGTGGTCGTGATCAAATGCATCAGCACCACGTAAGTAGGTGTAATAGGATTCGTTGTTCATGAGCAACCAATAATTCGATACTATTATTCCTTTCTGTTTTTAATTCATTATTCGATACAACTTTTGCCCAACGAATACCGACGTGCCCTATTATACCGACGTGGTGCTGATGCACTTGATCACGATTTTTTTATAAAAAAAAAAATTAGATGAAAATGTAAAATAAACGTTTTTTATACAAAGTTTTGTTTTTGAAGACGCTGACTGTAAATATTCACTTGGTACACATGTATTTTTTTGGTCCGATTTTAGAGACCGCGCTTTCATCTGCACTTGCGTTTGTGTTTATGAATACATAAAATGTTATGGACTGATATATTGATGAAAAGAAAAATTTGTTTTAAATTCGGTACACTGAACAGTTTGTTGTATTCTGTATCTTCGATGATCAATTAATCATATACACACATTAGCAATGTTCACAAACATGAATAGAGTTGATATTATGAAATCTGTTGGCCGAGACTTATCGCTAATCAAGTAGGTACAAGTGTACTTGACGGATGATTGAAGTCCATTTTCTCGAAAATAAAGCTTGATATGAAAAAATTTTATTCAACATTTTCATCTGATTTTGTTATGTAGAATCACCTCTTTCTAGGTTGTACCACCAGTTACCTGACATCATATATTTCTAAATAAATTAAAAAATGTAATCATTTTAGTTCGCAGAAGTCTACATATATACATTTAAGTTACTTTCAAAGTTGCAATATTTTGAGATGCAACTGTAGTATAAGGGATGGAAAATTCATTATTTATTGACGGTACCATGGACTATTATGGGCAAGGTAATATTCAACCCTTACAGAAAAGTTTGCTTTTGGAAATTAATAGGTATTCCAACAAGAAAACCTACATACCGAATTATTAAGGAATGGTTGTTATATAACACAGCAGGGATCCAATGCAAGGGAGAACTATGCTACAACAATGGTGTTGTAAAATATTAATGAAAAACAATGTTTGGATAGAAATTGCGTAATTAGGATTGCTATTATTTTATTTACACTTATTAATATAAAAGTAGAGTGTTTGGGAAAATGTTTTATCTTTTATGCTTAAATCTGAGGATTGGATTACAAAGAAAGCTTTATAAAACTTGTTCTTATTATAAAATATTTTATTTAGGAGTAGTTTACTTGACAAATTATATTTTTAAACATTTTACTTGCATTAAAGTTGATGCAAAAATCCTAAAGGTTTCTATATATCTTCTGATACTATCAGTCACATAGTATCACAATAACATGTGCAATAATTACAAATAGGGGGGTGGGACAGGGACTTAAAATTTTACTTTTCTAGAGTGTGGCTCCAATGTTAATTAATTAGGCCCCAGATCCCTACTGGTCCATCGGAAATTTTGCCGAATTCCTGATGGCCAGTTCGTCTATGGTTACAAAGATTAGGCTAAATTCTGTATATGGCTTAGCACCCTCTTGCACTGGACCCCTCAATTGTGTACTCCACGCCAATCGTCCGACCTGAGTCGAATTGAACATATTTCATTGAGTTTCTACAAATTAAACAATAAAATAAAAAAGTATATTTTACAGATGAGGAATTTTGAATACTCATTTAAAACATAAGTTTAAAAAGTACCGTAAAAAAAGCTATTTTTTATCATTTGCCTAAATTTTATTATTACACAATCTGATGCAGAATAAATAATTGGAGCAAACATAGTAAATTTATAGAGTGTATGTAAACTTTTGCAATTTTGTAACTTCTGGGTCCCGAGGCTATCAAAACTTTGCTGATTTCTTTGGTTGATAAACTTGATTCAAAAATTGCAATTTATTCTAAATAAAATTAAATAACATTTAATGGTAACGAAAAATAATGATTTACAAATAAACAATATTAAAGAACAAATATTGAAAAAGTATATATTTTAACAATTTAAAAATTTAAAAAGTTCAAACGGAGAGAATTTTTTTTACATTTGCAGTTAAGTCCAACATTTGCAAAATTAGAGTATATTTTAAATTTTAGAATTTTTTGACGTAGTGAATGAAAGGCTTAAAGTGAGATTCCCTTGGACAGTGAAGCCCGGGGCTATAGCCCTCTTTGTACCCCCTTTGATCCGGTGCTACTTAATAAGATAAAAATATTGAGCATTAATAGTCAAACTTATCATTATCCTCTGCAGGAAATACAAAAATCACAGGAAAAGACTGGAATATAAGTATGTAGTCATCTACCCATGGAAAATACATATATAATCAAGTACACTCCAGTAGTTACCACATATGCATGTATAAGAATTTGAAATATAAGAACTGCACTTAAGAACATGCGTTATAGGCATTGAAAATGAAATTGTAAAAATAACTAATATTGAGGATCAGCATGAAATGGATAAATATGAGAGAAGCTAGATGTTACTACGTTCCAAACTCATATTGGTCTTTTTTATTGATTGAATTTTGTATATTACATGAGTAACTGTTAGTAAATATTTTTTAAGTAATCAGGTCACTTGAAACTTGTTGTATAATATCTCAGATCATCCGTTTTGATCGAAAATCCATAACGAAACAAAGAAACAGTGCCGGTAAACTTGTAGGTATCTGTTAGAAAATTGTGGGAAATATGAATATTTTATCGTACGATGGGTTAAATAAAGGTGTATAACAATCTATTCTGTATATATACATATCCATTGGCGTAATTAAGAAGGGGCTAGGGTGGGCTTAGACCCCCTAAAAATGTGGGTTTGGTGGTCCCTCACCATTCTAAGATTCTAGGGTTTTAACATTCTTTAATTTTGAAATTTTAAAACTCAAAGATTCTAAAATTCTAAGATTCTAAGATTCTGTAGATTTGGTCTACTTCAGAAAAAGCTTCTAGTTACGCCAATGTACATATCTTCACGAATATATAATATATCAAATCAAACCAAATTCAAAATTAAAATTTCACTGCATAATCTTTATTTATTCGTAAACTTCAATATAAATTTCAGCCCTCGGAAAGCGGATGTTCCTGGTAGCAATCACTTTAACCAATAACCAAAACGTCATTATATATTAGTCTAAAGGTTGAATCGTATGAAAACCTTAAAATATACTTTCACGCGTAAATAACTTATGCAAAATATATATTCTGTATCTAAACTAAAATAAGTTTGAAAGTCATCGCTGCGAGGGTTAAAAAATAATCTCGAAACATCATCGCTTTCCCTTAGTTTTTCATTGAACGGAGTTGATTAGTTTGCCTTCAGCCAGTGAGTGGTTTAACTATCGAAGAAGATCGAGAGATCGTCGCGTCGAGGTAGTAGCAGCAGCGACGAGCGAGCGAGCAGTTTGATATTCGTTCGACGCGCGCCATGGAGCCCGTCTGCGTATGGACGCGGAATAAATTATCCCGATGTCTATCCCTCTTCTTTCCCTCCCTCGATTCTCCTCTCGCTTCGTTCAACCGTCTTTCTTCCAACGCGATTGTCTCTTTCTCCAACGATCTCACTCCCACCGGCCATCGCCTGTAATGATTTCTTATTCGTAGTAGTGGGACGATACCGGAAGTGAAGTCAGAATGGCGGAACCGGGCATTCACTCAATGGAAAGTTTAAGTTTCTTTCAGTGCGTGGAAGAAGGGCCCGAGCGTGGATCGGTGTTCCGCTCGCGTGGAAAATCCGCTTCTTTCGCTAGGTACGCAGCATTCCCGCTCGTGACTCGCGCGTGCACGGAAGAAACTCGAGGAACGGGAGAAACTCTTGCCAGTCGCTCGACCTCGCTGTTCTTTCTTTCCTCGCGAATCAACGTCGCCAATTTACTTACCTGAAGAGTGAAAAAAAAAAAAGATTCCCTCGGAAGGGTTGAAAATTCGCGCCAACCGGAGATTCGCATGTGTTTTCGCGACGTTTTCCTGTGCTGCGAGAATTACTGTTTCCACTCCGTTTCGAGGGAACAGGAAAATTGTGTGCAATTTCGTCGGTGTCGAAGATCGATGGTTTTGGTTGATCTTTCGAATCGAAACTAAACCGAATCGTTTGGATTTCGGTTTATTCGTTTCTAATCGTTTCAACGGGATGGCAAGGAAACGTAACAGAACTAGACTTTTACCTCGAAATGGAGGACTACGATAATTAAATGAACCTCGGAGAGTCATCAACTAGTGGAATTAAACGAGATGAAATTTTATTACGTTACTCATCTTCTCGGTTTATAATTCATCCTCAGACGTTTATTCGCGTTTGAGGTGTTAAATTTTTTTTTTTATATCAAAGCTCTAGATTGAATTATTCTGGAATATGTTTATGAAATTTTTCGAAATAACACAGAAGGCGACAGTGGTTGTTGAATTAAGGATAACATTCTTGTAACGTGGCAAAAATGACTTTATTAAATTAGGGTTTCGTCATTTCAGTGCTTCAATTTCGATGATAAAATGTGACAAATGGAATAAAAGAGACTTTGATTGCGAAAAAAGAAAGAGTTGAAAATGCGCAAGACGACGAGGCTTCGTTTTATTACTTATGTTAGTTTCACGGTTGGCGGTTAATTTTCAGCATTTTCTGCGAAATAAGAGAGGAGGTACTTTCACTTCGATGCCCTGAGTGTTTCTCGATGATAAACATCGATTCGAGTATCGGAAAAAAACGTTCCTCGACGAAACAGTGACAAAGTGATATATGGGACGTTGTTCAAGATATAACAAATCAGAGAGGCGTTGTCGAGACTGACAGAGAGGGTTTAGCTGCATTTGCGAGAGTATTCTTCAGAAATGGTCAGCCAACACGCGATGGCCACCACGGTTCGAAAAGTTAAGCAGGAGAATCGTCTCAGGCGGCAAAATCAAAACCAAGGTACAGAAATATACTGATTGACATTAACATTCGGATACCACGATATTCGTGTAATTATTGCTCGATATACTCATTTATAATTACGTTACAAAAATAATTATTTTATGGTATAATAACATTATGGTACAATATATTCTAGTTGACGGAAAAATACCTAACTTTCGTTTATTTAGAATAAAATTATAATATAATTGCATCGATGAATTGAACTTTTAACTGGGGATGACGAGTTAACTCGTCACTGGAAAATGCTTTTCCGAAGCACGTGACGACTTAACTCGTCACTGGAAAATGCTTCTCCGAAGCATATGACGAATTAGCTCGTCATGGAACTTTGGAAACGACCCACGTAAATTTAAACTTGATACATTTTTAACTTTTTAACTGGGAATGACGAGTTAATTGGTCATTGGAAAATGCTTCTCCGAAGCACATGACGACTTAACTCGTCACTGGAAAATGCTTCTCCGAAGCATATGACGAATTAACTCGTCATGGAACTTTGGAGACGACCCATGTAAATTTAAACTTGATACATTTTTAACTTTTTAACTGGGAATGACGAGTTAACTCGTCGTAATACAATTGTGACGGCGCGAATAGATGCGCTTTTGGTAAGTTAGCTCTTCAATTAAAAAATTAATTTCCGTGTGCCACTGACGTAATTAATTTTATAGTGCTACTCCAACCAAAACAGTTGTACTGACCAAAATTATGCTTAAACATTTTTTATAAATATTTATCAATTCAACTAAAACTATTGGACTCGTACTGTTTTTTAATTAGAACCGTTTTTTAGTTAGAAAATTTAAATTAATTTATTAACTTTAAATATAATTGAAATAGACGTTATGCAATGGAAAATGATTATTAACACTAGAACTACCAAAGGGATCAAAATGACTGTTTTCTAGTTTCTTATTTTAAATTAAACAATTTTATTAAGGTATTTTTCCTGGAATGTACATATGTTGGTTATTGTCGAGATAGAGAATGGATATATGTATGGAATATGTTGACTATTGTCGAGATAGAGAATGGAAACATATTAAATTATGTTTCACCCTGTATTTATTTAATTTTTTGTATTATTTTCAATTTAGAAATTAGTGTTCATCAAACGTCGGAAGTTATAGTGTTAAAATAAATGTAGCGTGTTACATATTCAAAAAGTCAGTTACTGGTTGTTGGTTAGTAATAACTTTCTAAAAACAAATTTCTTGATATAATGTTGATGTTTATCTTCGGAAGAACTTGCTTCATTAATTTAATCACATGTTGAATCATTTTCTCATTTATTGCCACCGGTTCTGCGTAGGCACGATCTGTTAGTAATGTTTGGTTGGCTTTGTCTTCCACTACATACCTTGAAAGTTACAATGGACAATTCATCAATGAAATCATTGGCTTTTATGTATCCTGGCATAACAGTATCGTAAACGAACATTTTGATTTCTAAAGAAAGTGCAATAAACGTACGCTTTTTTCTGGGAAAAAAGAAAACGGAGTTCCAAGAATATTATAAATATTATTTGTGAAACTGTAGATTATCCCAGTAAGAACAATATATTAACTTGAAACTTTTTCTATAGCATCAACGAAGAATCCTCCCACCCAGTAAATTTTCTCGAAAACAGATTTCATACATCTCATACAAATCTTCAAAATTTCAAAATTTCAGATCTTCTAAAAAATTATATAATTACAAAATTTCTATTTGATCGGGCCTACCCCAGAAGAATGTCCAAGTTACCCCAATGAGTATAATGAATCTAATGTGAACGAATTTTTCATTCAGCAGTAAGTTTTCCATGACATAAATAGGTTGGTATGGATATGGATAAATAACAGTAGTAGCATTACGACTCATAATTAGACAATCGCAACGACTCATGATTTCTGATATAACAAAGCGTACAGGGAACATGATTTAATTTCAATTTACAAATAGACATTAATTCCGTTACGGTAACGCTAATTATTTTGTTAAAGAAGAAGACATCTAAACTCAGAGCAGAATTCTATGGTGGATACATCAAAGTTTGCTCGAACTAAATGCAGCTTTATATGCAACCAAGCACTGCATTAATTACAAACTGTATACAATTAATTCACACACTAATTATTCTTTCATTAGGGCTTAATGTAATACGTTTTTTGTATCTCTACTGTTTCTTGTTTGAAACAATAGAATTTAATCACACTTCTTACTGTTATGTTTGATTATTATTAACATTAGAAATAGCAAGCACTCAACGATAGTATCTGTACCTGAAAGCCAGACTAATCCAACAGTATTTTATTTCTTTAAATTCAGTTATGTACGTACATCAGTTTACTGTTCTTTCCTTATTTCATAAGAAGTATAAAGATATATTTATATTGCATTCTAAACAAAGAAGGTATACTCATATAAACTATTTCGATTTTTGTACAAAGTAATTGGGTTAGTTTGGCTCTCAAGTACATATATGTAAATTGTTAGAATTATTGTAGCTTGTATTCAATATTTATAAAATAATTTAACAAATTTTGTGAAAAATAAGGCTTTCGAATTTTTTGTACAATATTTCAACCTATAGTTTTGAAATGAAAGAAAAATTAATTGATTATGATTAGAAAAGGGAATTTGGGTATAGAATTGAATCTACAAAAGTTTTTCCAGTAGATACTATTTTTAGATAAGATTTATAAACAAACTATTGCTGATATTAAAATGATCCACACTATAGAAGGTTTGGATAGATTATCCAGTTGTAGGAAAATTTAATAATATGATATCTTGCACAAAGCTGAAACCGTTTGCATTCGCTTTCAAATACTATCAAAACCAGTGACACAACCATAACTATCCAGATTTTGGGGGATTTTATGTCTACCTTCTTATCGTTAGTATCGTGATAATATTCAATTAAATTTTTTTTTATTTCGGTTTATTTACAACAATGTTTTCTGAAATTTTCGAAAATATTCTAGTATTTATTAAAAAGAGATGTTTTTTAATTTCTTAATAAGAGAATGAAGTGACTCGTCCTAATTGCGTTACTGACTAGAAATATAGGAGAATAATATAGGAGAAAAAATACCTTTCATATAATCTCGTCGTAGATTTATTTATTAATTGACAAGTGTTAACATTAATGTTTTTGACAATAAAACAATATACCGTTAGAATCTTTGAAACGTCTCTACTTTCGGGAACGACACATTATATCACATGATGTTTCACGCGCTACTAATTTTGTCTAATAAAAATCTTTTCTGTCCTTTACCGTTTTAGAACTACAATTTGGCATATATGTATCTACTTAGATCTCACAATAAAAATGATTGCAATATTCAATTAGCACAATAATTGCAACATTGAGGAAAACGTACTCCATAAGGTTTAGAAGACTCAGGTGACCACTCTATCAAAAATCTTTTCTTTAATAAATATTTAAATATTTAAAAAATTTTTAATCACGTTGTCAAAAATAAACAAAAATTTAAAAAATTTAATTTAATATTATTATGATGCTAATAAGGTATGAAAAAACTTTGTTTGACTCCTCTATCAAACAATTATGGGTGCGTCACTGTTTGAAAATGGTATTGATTGACCTATTAACGCATTTATACAAAAAAAAATAATAAATCCTTTGGAATAATAATACATAACCTTCTAGATACATAAAATACAAATTACTATTTACTTTTTCTTTAAAATTAGTCGTGTAATAATGTTTCTTATACTTATTAATAGCCATAAAAATTGAATTTATTTTGAATGCTCATACGAGACCTCTTTTAATTGAATTTTCAATTGTTAAACCATTCTTACACGAAAACTTCGATAAGATGAAACCTACTCAATTTAGGTTTAACGAGATTTTAGTGTATTTCTATTTTCGTCATATCGGCGGCCCAGTTTAAAAAGGCAACAACTCAAAATGCTATGAGAAGTGTTTTGAGAAAATTCCGTTTCAAAATTTAATGTTGCTTTGAAAATTCCAATTAATATCACTCTAATTTAACATAAATAACACATTTTGGAGTAATTTGAATCATCACAGAATTTCGCTTGCCCTCTTGAAATGGTTATTTCATAAATAATTAGTTCTGTACAGAGTTAATCCTTATATGCTGCGAATAAGCAGAGTTTGAATTTGTGCAACAATGGCACATGGTTTGAAATTGTTGATTTTTTCATGTTTTGCACCTACGATGAGCTGACACATTTTCTTCTTTTTATGATATAAATAATACAAAAGATCAATTTTTTTAATTGTTGCCTTTTATAACTAGATCATTGACATAAGGAACACCGTTTAAATAATTTTAATAATTATAAGACAATATCCCTTCTGGAACCACTTGTCTCAGTTAAGTATCAGGACACAATAATTACATTCTGCAACAACATAGGAATTCTTAACAGTTTATGATAGACAACTGAGGATAAATATCAACACGCCACTCACCGCATTAATCAACCTTATGTTCATTATATGTATATTAGAGTTATACTTATTTATTACTCATTTATGATTATTATATACCACTAACATTGTAAGCCTGTCGGGCTAAGTCGCTAATGACCTTTGCTGTCGATGCGACTTTAAATTAAAATAAATAAATAAGTAAATAATATCTCTTCTGAAATAAAATGGATCTAGTTGAACAAGTCTAACAAATTTATTCTAATGTAATTATACAAATAAGTGGAAACTTATACCTAAGTGGTTTTTATGTAGGTATTGTTAAACTGATCGACTATTCAGAAGCTGATTCTTGAAAATATAATTACCTTCGAACGAAATATGTATTCCAGATGAGGAGGAACTTTACAAGCCTGTACCACCACCGAAACCGGTGCCGAACAATCAGAAGAATCAGAACGGGCAACAGGAGAGCAGGGTGCAGACGGTAGCCGAGCAATCATCTCGGACGACTTCCGGCGTAGAAAGGAACGCCACGTTAGACGACAACCAGCTTCGAAGTTCTGGGCAGACCATTGCACCGGAATACAGGATGCCACCGCTTTACGGGGAGGAACAGAGCTCAAATCAGTCTCAACAGGCAGCTAATTTGCAGACTCATAGTAGCAAATTTCCGGTAAGCGCTAAACAGCTTATATATTCCTTACTTACTGCAATAATTGTGCTGTTGGATACAAAAAGGGCCACTAGATGCTCAGGCTCTTTTTTAGCAAAATGATTAATTAGATTCTACACTCTTTTCTATGTTTCTTCGTTGCATTCTCAAAATTGACGAAGTTACAGCAAATGTTGTAAATCAATGTTGATCAATTATTGCCGCCCTTTCCATGGCCCGCCGTCCGATGGTTAATATATTACATAATTCAAATTGTGTTAATAAAACTATGAAAAAGAAATATCAAACTTTTTAACGTTACAGATTGTTTTGCAACAATTTCACTACATACAAGACACAATTAGGTACCTTTCAAATTTTTAGAAACATTTTTCTTGAATTCAACACAGTACTTTCTTTATTACCTCCAACAGTAGAATTGCAACTCATTAATCATAATTTTAGTTTGAATATCTTGAAGCGTTACAGTTTTATAAGAGAAATGCCAGAAAATACTAAATTGGTGTGATAAGATATCGAACCTCCACAAGAGTATTATAATATTCTCATTTAATATCGTACACCCACATTTAATTATAAAACAACCTCTATATTGAGCTATGCTACTGTTGCTGCGAAATTTTCTCTCTGATCAAGAGTAATTTAGTATACTATGCCGCTATTATTAAAAAAAGATCAATTTCTTTATGTTTTAAAATACTCTAAATTTTGTCGTTGTCATAAAAAGTCATCAATGTAAAAAACAGTGAAGGTAAAACATTTAAAAGAAGTAACTTTATTAATTTAACTATCAAAGATTTTCATTAAGCTACTTGTTTTTATCAATAAAATTGAATCCATAATATCACTTTTTTCTTATTAAAAATGATTAGCTTTAAATAGAAAACATTTGTTAATTCAATATTGTATGTATTCTTTCCAGTTATAGACGTTATGACTAATTCACGAACTTCCCTCCTCCAAAAAGTATAATCCAAATAAACCTACATACTAGGTTTAGCAAAAATAATAATCACAAATTAACCTGAATATTTGTAATATTTAATGATTCATAACAGCTATAATTATCACATTGCAAGATTAGTACGAATTACTTTAACAACAATAACGACGCATGGAGGTAGAAATAATGGATAAAAAATATGTATTCGATAAGAGAATCATAATACAGGGCCGAATTAATATTTCTGGGGCCCCAAGGCTATCAAACTTTCGAGGTCCCCCTTGGTAGATAAATTTGGCCCAAAAATTAAAAATTTATTCTAAATAAAATTAAATAACATGCAATCAAATAGCAGCAGCAAAAAAAGATTTCATTCAATCTTTTTTAACATAATAAATAGGTGGTTTATAACAGAATTCGCGACAAAGTGGAGCCCGGAGCTATTAACACCTTAGACCTTCCCTTAATCCTGCGCTGTCATATGTGTAAAAACAAATCGAAAATTATAGAAAGTAATAAATGAAGAAATAGTTTTTGTAATAATATTTTTTTAAAATATTTCTAAAAAGAGCTTATCTTTAAACAGTGCCAGGTCAAGGGGGGATTAGAGACCCCGTTCCAAATTCATTTATTGTATCAAAAGTTTCCAAATTTTGGAATCCACTATAATTTTGTAAATTTTAGTTTCAGTTGCTATTGTAAAAATAAATTCTCTTCTTTTAAACTTTTCAGATCATTAAATTATTAAAATATGTAATTCTTTAATGGTTGGTTGGTCTCTAATATTATTTATTTGTAAATAATTATTTCTCTTTACGATTAAATGTCCTTTCATTTTATTTAGAATAAATTGCAACTTTTTAACCAAGTTTATCCAACAAAGGGGGCTCAAAGCGAGTATTAGAATTAATAATAATAGCAAAGAAGGAAGAAGCTATTTTTTGTTTTCTTGATATGTATGTACTTATACTATAGAAAATATTTATCAGTCACGTGTCATTTGAAGGGTAAACGTAATTAAAATTAATTAGACGTATAATTATCTAAGTAAAGAAAAATCAATTTTTCAATAAGTCTCCATTGTAGATCATGTGAGAAATTCGATATTTTCCAATTCTGTATTTCTCCTCACTTTAAAAAAAAATTGAAATACTTGCTGAGAATTAGGTACATATACCTAATTCAAAACGAACGTGTAATTTCGCAAACATTATATTAAAATTAACCGGAATTGGTTAGTATATATTGGACTTAATTCCATCCCTAGCAGTGGATGGAACGAACAAAAAACCTCATCATAGAACTTCCATTAATTAACGCATAACCAGCCGTGTTCAAACATTGATCGTGAAAGATAGATATCATTAAAGGAACAAGTGGGGGAGGAAGGAAAGATAACAGGAATATATGAAGAATAATGTAAGCCGTTCTACGCGATGTAACAGCGTCACGAACAGTAACGCCGTGTGTTAATTAGCGATACACCGTATGCATTAATTCCACGTGCGCGAGAAGATTGCGGGCAGCCACGGTAGCTTCGCTCCCTATACGAACAACAGAAACTGGAAACTTTTGTTATAAACTCGAAATAGGCGTGCCGATGAATTTTACTACTACCGATAACGCGACGAGTTCCAAGGTGTAACTGACTGAATATGGCGATTCCACTCGCGGACTTTGATGCACCTCCGTACGGTGACTGGACTTGTTTCAAGCCGATGAAAAACCACCACGGTTAGAAGTCAAGGCGTAGCGCTTTATTCGGTATGGTCTGCTCCGACTTTCTAGTCTCCTGATTTCTTTGTTCGTGTGATTCCTTTTAATTGCAGTTTTCTCTCGACGAAAATGTCCAAGGACAAATCTCCTGCATGATTTTCTAAATTCATGCGATAACAATACCGTTTGTTTGTTTGTGATTTAAAATTTCTTAATGCCGAGGAATACGTGTGTCTGTACTAAAATGGTGAGTAGATCCCTTTTGATATTTACTGCGAAAAAGATTTTTCTATTTTTATAAAAATAATTTAAATACATATTTGATAAAATTAACATGTTAATTGACGTGAAGGTCACTAATGAATTAGCACTACAAATTCAATATAATCCTACTATTATATAAAAGGACAGCCCCTTTTTCGTTTGGAACCGCTAACCGCGAAAACTACTGAACCAATCGTTACCAACTTTTAACTACATCATCTTCATGGTCCACGGAAGGTTTAATAACAATAAAATCTACCGATTTTCCATTAAAATGTTATTATGCTGTTAAAAAAGTGATTTATGATATGTGAATCCCTGTCGCGCATGCGCTTTTACCGCCTGCAACTGCGCACGCGCTCTTGCGCCGCTGGAGTGTAGTTTGAGAATCATCCACTAGATGGCAAACGGCATCTCCACGAACTCCACAAGTGAGTTGGTGAGTTCAGACCTATAAGACAGGCATGGGCAGCTAGTTCAGTATAATTCACCAATTAAAAAAACGAAAGAGAAAGTATAATTTTGGTTATTATTCTTATTATTATTATACTATACTGTACTATTAATATATCGTATTCTCACAATTTTAATAACCGATACTATTAGACTGTGAATAATTATGCACGTTTAATATAAAAAGTCATAAGTATATAAGATATGCTTAAGATATAAAATATTATTGTTATTATTAGTATATTTAATAATATATACAGGGGTATTTAACAACACCTTTGCAATTGTTCTGGTACATTATAGTTTGCGGTACAATAAATTGCAAGCATTTTTTATAAATATACATAATTTAAAAAACATTTTTTAAATAGATAATACAATTCAGTCATACTATGTACATATATTATACATCTCTATAGAAACTAATAAAAATAAATCTATGGAACCCAGTTACTGAATCGTAAATTTTGTAACTGTGTTTTATACTTTTATCGTAAATTTTGTAATAGATACTTTCTTTTATCGATTTTGTCAATAACAAAATTTGTATCACTTTCAACCTACCTCTGCATTAATGTTTGTCTCCTTTTTTAGTGTGATGAAAGATACATTTTTTTATTATCATATTATATTTACAACTAGTTTTAAAAATCTAACCAGTTGTGTTTTTACTTGCATCGAAAGTATTTATATAATCGATAGATTTATCCCTTTTAAGTCTTCTAATTTCTTTAGCCAGTTCATTAGTGTAATTGTTCTTTCTATTTTTGTGTATTATTGCGAATTTTTCTATTGGTACTTGGAAAATTCTGTAGCTTTAAGTCTTTATGAAGAGTATACTTGAAGCCTTATTCCGGAATCATTGGATGATATTTATATCGCTTTTTAGGCACATCCCTATAGTCGTATTCCACATGTCCATTTTGGAACGATAGCAGCTTTATAGAGTAGTTTATTGTGTAGCACGAGTGGTGATTTCAGTCCCAGGATCCAGTAGACATGCTTTTCGTTTCTAGGTTCAGTTGTTTCCTCTTCATTTTTATGTGATTTTTCCATGTACATAAGTCTTGTGTCTAGATAGAGACCAAGGTATACGACGTTCTTTTTTATCTTGAGATATTCATTGTACAGTTTGACGTTCGAGCATACAACATATTTTGAGGTAAACGTGCTGTGAACTGATTCACTAATATTCAATTTTAATTTTTCACTTTTTTGTCCATTCTGCTAACTTGTTCACTACTTCCTGCAGGAGTCGTGATGCCACAAAAGGGTTTCCGCTAAGAACGCAGTGTCATCTGTGTACATCGCTGATAGCACACCGTCGCTGTCAGGGAGATCTACTTTGTAGATGACAAATAGTGAATGATAATACACTTTAGCAGCATTGTAGGGTGACTAGATCGATGTAACTAAAAGTCGGGACAGTATGTGATGACCAAACAAAAAAAAATTAACAAGTAAATAATTTTTGCTACACTTTATGTATGTTTGCATTATACTCTATCGAGTGAATAAATGGCGAATCGATCAATCGATGATTACTGATTAAATCGCTACCACGAAATGCAATACGTACATTGGAATCTTCTACAACTCTAAACTCTAAATTTTTCACTGAAAC